TTTTACAAAAATACTAGGGGGTTTTCAATAAAACAAAAATAAATAGAATTTGTACTATGTATTTATATTATTAAACACTTACATACAATACACTGATTATGAGTAACAAACAAAGTTGTGACTTAAATATATACATGTTAAATAAATTGCAATTAATATGCGGTATCAATATAAGTTGTGTAATAGATAAGGTGGGACAGTTTCCAGACTTATTCAACTAATTTGTTGACTTTTTAATTACAGTTTGTTCTCTAGTATGTCCTCTTTCATGTCGCATTAATGCAGGTTTTGTTTTGAATGTTTTATTGCATGTCTTACATTCATAAGGTCTTTCTTCAGTATGCACTGATGAATGTAATTTTAAAATATTTACCCGTGTAAATCTTTTATTACATATTTTGCACTCATGAGGCCATTCTCCAGTATGAACTGATAAATGTCTTTTTAAATGACTTAACCGTGAAAATGTTTTATTACATATTTTGCACTCATAAGAGCGTTCTCCAGAATGTGGCTTTATGTTGTTTTAAAATTTTTTTCATTTTGAATGTTTTATTACATATATCACATGCGTAAGGTCGTTCTTCAGCATGCACTGATAAATGCTGTCTTAAATTCCTTGATTGTGAAAATGTTTTTTTGCATATCTTGCACTCATGAGACTGTTCTCCAGTGTGGACCACTTTATGTTTAAAAGTTTTCTTTTGTTTTGAATTTTCTATTGCATATTTCACAATCATAAGCGCGTTCTTCAGTATGCACTGATAAATGCTTTCTTAAATTACCTGCCTGTGAAAATCTTTTATTGCATATTTTGCACTCATGAGGGCGTTCCCCAGTGTGAATCATTTCATGTTTTTGTAAGTTTTGTTTGCTGTGAATGTTTTATTGCATGATTCACATTTATATGGTTTCAAGTTATTAGTTGTTTTAGTTTTTGCTGAAACTCCTTCAAATGATTTGTTTGTGCTATCGACTAAATTACATGAATTATTGACCTCTTCATCGCATATATAAGAACTTTCATATGAAACTGTTTTGTTTGTGTTAGTCATATCATGTTGGTTATCAATCGTTTCTTGTTTTATTTCCTCGTCAATTGTAACCTCAGATTTTAAAAATTGGTGCAGACATATATCATCATCCATATACAATTCTAATGTATTTTCACAATCATCGAATTCCTGTTTCACTTGAGGATAATCATCGAACGGTTCAATTTTAATTGTTTTGTTAAAATCTGTTTCTTCAGACATGTTTGAAGTTTGTAGGTTATAATAAATAAACTGGTGATGAGTTCTTAAAAATTGAGAAGTCTAAGTGTATAATAATATATGCGTTTCGATATTTACTGATTCGTTTATTGTTTAATATGATATAATGCAAACACTGACCTTTTTACTAAATTTATCTTTAATAATTCCATAAACCACTTTGATATTTCTTCTCCATTTTGTTTTCATTAGTGATGGGCGTTGAATCAACGAACGGTTTTTTTCAACCGTTTCTCCTTCGTTAACGAATCAACCGTTTCGACGCAACGAAACAACTAGTTGAAAAATCAACTGGTTTGTCAATGAGTTAAAAACATGGCGCCCAGTTACTTTTCAACGAAATGCATATTCGTTCGTTGTCGAATATTACAATTGAAAAGCAATAGAGTACTCTAGGGGTTCTTTCTTAAACTTATAATTATTAGGTTCGAATGTATGATATCAACAACCAACTCTTTATCTAGGAATATAACTCTTATACAGTGTTGTCATGTCTAAAGTTTTAACTGTAGATCTACAGTTTTTTGGTAATGATCTCAGTTTTGCAGTTTTGGCCTCGAAATCTACAGTAAAGAAATTGAAAATAATTTTAAAATCATTCTAGTATTTTTTATGAACTTATCTTTTGTAGGTTGAGATTTATGTTAATAATTCATTTCATATATAAAATTATTTATAGTAATAAATATTTATTTATTTAACTATCAGCTAGCTTTATATTGATTCGAAATTACCTTCAATAATTAAAACATGACATGATAAATATTACTTATATTGAAATTAATAAAATTAATAAAATAAACAATCTATCGATAAACATTTTGGAATGGTGTTTAGGATAACTATAATAAAACTGTTTGTTTGAAATATCAATTGAATATTTCCTAAACATATTTTTTTTAAAGAAAGCCTTCAATGCTAAATTATGCAGATCGCCGGGATTACTTGAAAAATCCTATATCTGGCGCCGTTGACAATTATAGTATTATAATCGCTTATTATTGTTAGGTAAAATAAAATAAACTTTTCAGGATGATTGTAATAAAACTGTTTGTTTGAAATATCAATTGAATATATCCTAAACATATTTTTTTTTAAAGAAAACCTTCAATGCTAAATTATGCAGATCGCCGGGATTACTTGGAAAATCCTATATCCGGCGCCATTGACAATTACTATAGTATTATAATCGCTTATTGTTAGGTAAAATATAATAAAACTTTTCAGGATGATTGTAATAAAACTGTTTGTTTAAAATATCAATTGAATATATCTTAAACATATTTTTTAAAGAAAACCTTCAATGCTAAATTATGCAGATCGCCGGGATTACTTGGAAAATCCTATACCTGGCGCCATTGACAATTACTAGAATTATAATCGCTTATTGTTAGGTAAAATATAATAAAACTTTTCAGGATGATTGTAATAAAACTGTTTGTTTGAAATATCAATTGAACATATCCTAAAAATATTTTTTTAAAGAAAACCTTCAATGCTAAATTATGCAGATCGCCGGGATTACTTGGAAAATCCTATACCTGGCGCCATTGACAATTACTAGAATTATAATCGCTTATTGTTAGGTAAAATAAAATAAAACTTTTCAGGATGATTGTAATAAAACTGTTTGTTTGAAATATCAATTGAACATATCCTAAAAATATTTTTTTAAAGAAAACCTTCAATGCTAAATTATGCAGATCGCCGGGATTACTTGGAAAATCCTATATCTGGCGCCATTGACAATTACTAGTATTATAATCGCTTATTGTTAGGTAAAATAAAATAAAACTTTTCAGGATGATTGTAATAAAACTGTTTGTTTGAAATATCAATTGAACATATCCTAAAAATATTTTTTTAAAGAAAACCTTCAATGCTAAATTATGCAGATCGCCGGGATTACTTGGAAAATCCTATATCTGGCGCCATTGACAATTACTAGTATTATAATCGATTATTGTTTGGTAAAATATAATAATACTTTTCAGGATGACTATAATAAAACTGTTTGTTTGAAATATTAATTGAATATTTCCTAAACACATTTTTTTAAAGAAAACCTTCAATGCTAAATTATGCAGATCGCCGGGATTACTTGGTCGTCATCTGCATTTATTTCGCACCTCAAACTCATGTGCAAAATACATTATAGTAACATAACATATTTAAATAAAAATTAATTCCCGTAGGGTAAGTTATTGTAATGTGCCGAAAATCGAAATTGAAAATTTTTACATTTCTCGACGTTTTGAAGGTTTCTGAACATTTTGGCATACCTCAGAAAAATGGATGTGTGTGTGTATGTATGTATGGATACAAATTTCCAGTCACGTTTTCGGGCACACGAATCAACCGATTTGAATCGTTCAAAAAATATTCGATTTCTATTGATAGGGAGATGAGTTGATTAGTTTTTGGCAAAGGCAGGTCCAGCAGTTACGAAGATAAAGAGCAAAGAGTGCAGAAAATAAAAATCGAGTTTTTGAGAAAACGGAGCATCCGATTTGAATTATCTAAAAAACATTCAATTAATAATGATTGGGAGAAGTGTTTATTAGTTTTTGGTAAAGGCAGGCCAAGTCATTTCAAAGATACGGAGCTAAATGTATAAAAATGGCAGTTTTTTGAGAGAACTAAGCGTCCGATTCAAATGATTCAAAGAACTTCCTGCTTATCCTAACAAATAATTGATTTTGAAAAATTGTATATAGAAAATAATTCAGATTTCAATTTCAATTCTAGCTAGAGTTTTAAAGCTCACTTATATACTTTAAATGAATTGACTACGTGATTCAGTTCATATAATTCTTATAAATATTAGACAATGTTACAGTATTTATAATAATCTATTTGAAAACATTTAATATTCCTCGAACATTTTGTTACGGCGCCATAGCCTGGCACGCGTGCCATGGGTTGCCGATGCCTGGTCTGCAGCATGCTTTGAAATAAGTCCAAGAAATCATCCCCCTCAGATGTATAAATTAATGTAACCCGCCCCTTACGGGCGGGGCTAATATTGTTAATTTTGATTTTTAATAATTTTTATTTAGTATAAGTTCAGAACTCATCCCGATTACTTTTATCTTAATTACGCGCTTGCCAATTTTTTAAAATTGAAAGATACGTTATTCAGTAAAAATTTTAGTTAAAATTTTGTGCTTTTTAAATAAAATTGTTATACCATTATCTATCATTATATCATTAGTATTTAAAATAGTTTTTTAATAATAATTTATTTTAGATTTTATCAAATATATTTTAATTAGTTTTAAATTTAGTAAATAACATAGTTTAATAATTTTATATATTTTATATTATCGATTAGTTTTACAATAAGTTTAAATTTTAAGAAATATTGTTTTTTTTCAAATTCTTTTTTAAAAAAATGGCATCTCGTAGAAATACTAGTGTATTGTGGTACCATTTTGAAAAAATTGATAGTATGAAAGCAAAGTGTAATGTGTGCAACCAGCAGATAAAGTATAGTTCAACAACCGCCAATTTAAAGAGTCATTTAAAAAGAAAGCATATTTCCATATATGCTTCGTTGCAAGAAACTGAGGCAGGAAGTTCACAGCAGACTCGTATTTCACAGTATATGAGTAATTCCGGAGAGGCTATACCAAGTTCTAGTAGTGCTCAACAACAACCTACAAGTGTGCGTCAGAGGGTATTGGAGACTTTTATGACTAAAAAATTAGCAGCGAACAAAAAAAAATGATTGACCAAGATTTGATGGATATGTTCATTGATAGTTTCCATGCATTTTCATTAGTTGAAGAAAGAGCGTTTAAAAAGTTGATGCGGTGGATACCAGGATATGTTCTTCCATCTAGAAAGACTGTTTCAGGATCCATGCTCGAGGAGCAATACAACAAGGCAGTTGAAAATACAAGAGCAGAAGTTTTAGCTGAAGCACAAACTATTTGCATAACGTTAGATGTTTGGACTTCTAGGGTTACTGAAGCATATGTGGCAGTTACAGGCCATTATATTACAGACAATTATAACTTAAAAACTGTTCTTCTCGGATGCTGTCAATTTGAAGGAGCGCATACATCAGAAAATCTAGCAATAGAAATTCAAACAATCCTTGACAATTGGAAATTGCTTCAGAAGGTAAATTTTGCCATTAGTGATAATGCCAATAACATGAAAAAAGCCATTAAAGACATTTTAAAAATAAAACATTATGGATGTTTTGCGCACACTATTAATTTAATAGTAAATGATGGCCTCAAGTTGATTAAGAGTGAGATCGATATAATAAAGAAAATTGTTGGCCACTTCCGGAGGAGTGTCACTGCATGTGAAAAACTGCAGAAATACCAAATGCAGCAATATGGACACACAAAAAATTGATTCAAGATGTCGAAACAAGGTGGAACTCCACCTTTTACATGGTGAAACGATTTGTCGAGGTTGAAGAGTCAATAAGGATGACAATGAGTGTTTTAGATGCAAATCTACCATCATTGACTCCTGAAATGTGGAAAATGTTGCCACAACTATGCTTAATTTTAAAACCATTCGAAGATATTACCACCACTGTAAGTGGTGAAAATTACCTGACAGGAAGCCTGGTAATAGTGTTAGTAAGATGTTTGAATGAGTCATGCAACAAATTATTGGCACGAAATGACCTGTTGCCAGTAATTAGAAGAATCACTGAAATTTTTAAATCAGGAATTAATGACAGATTTCCAAATGTCGAGAGGAGCAAGACATTTGGAATCTGTACATTATTAGATCCTAGGTTCAAAATGAAGGGTTTCTCAAACATAGAAGATGCAAAAATTATTAAAGAAGATCTTAAGCAAAAAGTAGCAAAAATCATTGAAGAACGAAGACTTTTAGAGAATGTTGTTCCCATGCCATCAACGTCCATGGAAGATATTGATGAGTATAACCCATGGACTATTTTAAATAACCTAGTAGGAGCATCACTGCATCAATCGACTCCACTATGTGCTGCTATAAAGGAAATTGATATATATCTCGCTGATGATAGCTTGCCTATGAAATCTGCAGAAGGTATATTAAATTGCCCAATGCAATGGTGGAGAAATCACCAGCATGTTTATCCAATTTGGCGAGATTGTTTAAAAATCAATGCAATGTTGTAGCTACCTCCGTTCCTTGTGAAAGGATCTTTTCAAAAGCAGGCATGGTTATTACGGATAGAAGATCGAGACTACAAAATACAAAAGTCGAAAAATTAATGTATTTAAATGTAAATTTAGATCAAAATCGATTTGATAAAATTTAAAATTGTTAAAATTTTAGTTTTGTTATGTAACAAATTATATAATCTATTTGAAATTTATAATTATAGTTAAAATGTATAATATATGTAAATATTTGAATAAAATGTACTTATAAAAATGATTTGTTTAATTTATAAGATTTCATAAAAACTTCTATTTAAGTTAATCTTCATTTGATTTTTCAGGCTATATGGAATATCATGTCATATAAAAATCTTCTTAGTTAACAAGGTCATAAATAGATAGATGAATACTAACTTTCAAATGTTTTGTTACTAATATTTTTCGTTATATCCATAACATTTTTAATTTGAAATTACTTGAAGTCATTTTTTAAACCTAACCTGAAAATAAATTATTGAGTTATATAAATTATTTGTTTATTATGTGAAACATTGCTATTTTAATTATAAATTCGTTGTTTCAGTATACTATATCCTTTTGCTTTAAAATTAAAAATAAACAATATGATGGGATACACAGTTCAACTTCTAAACCTTGTTATTGATCAAATGATTTGACATTTAACTGGGACGAACATAGATAAGGAACAAACTTCATTAACTTTCAACGAAACAGTATTTTCAACTCATAGTTATTAACGTTGCCAGCGTTGAATCGTTAAAATCAACTATAGTTGAAATTTAACTAGTTTTTCAACTAGTTGACGAGAACCCGTTAACCGTTTCGTTTCGTTGACGGAAAAAACGTCAACGACCCATCACTAGTTTTCATGAACAAGTCATCAGGTTGGACAACATTGAGCACATTTTAAATGCGAGTTTTTCGGCGGCAAAATTTGAAATCTTCCTGTTTGTATCACTCCTGTGATTATGGGAGATTAGTTGGTAGCTGGATCTGAGCGGTTGATAAGATAAAACACTAGTTCTTGGTTGATCTTGATATTTTATTGTTTACTATTTTTACAATTAAATAATTTGTTTGATAACCTTTTGGTTATCAATAATCAGAGACTACATTTTTAAATAAAGATCTAAACAGTAAGCCTGACTTGACTCCTGATTTCTGACTTCTCCTGACTTCTGACTTGACTTCTGATTTCTGACTGCTTAACTAAATCTTAACTACTTCTTATATACTAAATAATTGAATACAAAACGTGATTCCAAAATCTAACAGCAAGGACTTCGGATAACCTTCAAATAGCACGTAGTGCTTTAATAAAAACAATAAATAATAAATTATATTTGTGATTACAGAATAATATATATATATATTTTGTAGAGTTTCGAACAAGAATCCAAAAATAATACAAAATAAAAAAACAAGAAAAGTTTTTGATAAACAATTTCTTTATTTAATTATTTGTTTACTGTCAACGTTTCGGAACTAGGTACGTTCCATCTTCAGGACATCTGTCAAGAAACATGATCTTGATGAGATTTTAGCAAACAATATGTTTAGGAATAGAAAATAGATTTTTCTTAAATAATAAATTAATTGTAACAAATAATAATGTACAGAAATATGATAATATGATCAAAATGAAAATGATAAAAATAAATGAGTGGATTATCAGAACAGGATATTAAAAATGATAGAAATTTTATGGAAAAATTATTTTAAGAAAGGGTTAATGATAAAATTGAATTAATTACATGTATGTTTGAATATACGTTAGCACTTTTTCACTAAACAAGAATTTTTGACAAAAAATGAATTTGTGAGTTATTTTTCCGCCGAGTAGTTAACTTTTGTAAATCAAAATTACTAAAAGTGTTGTCTTTTTTTAAAATTATTATTTGAAAACAAATAATATTGTATTCGATGTTATACTATTGGCATTTGGAAACGAACTAACTGTATTTGGTGGTTCATATGTAACACGTGTAAACACTTGAAACGAGAACTGTGAGATTGTATGTGTGTGTTTTTTTCATGTTAGGGTGTAAATACCTAAATTATTGAACTTAAAAGGAAGTCGATATTAATTGTTTGTCAAAAAGTGTAAAAAATTTAAATATGAATCATGTAATAGGTTGTGACCTGATCTAATGTTGACACTGTTAGAAACATTCATGAGAATAAGACAACTCTCCGCGAATAATCTCCTAAAGATGCAACTTTCATGATATAAAATCTTTGGAGTGAAATTAAATGAATGGGCGTTTTCTATAGAGTGTTGTACTAGGGTACTTTTGAAATTTTTTTGTTTATGGTGGACCACACTTAGTTCATGTTGTCTCATTCTCTTGTGTACATATTGCGAGGTTTGTCCAATATGTTGAAAAGCACAGTCATTACAAGAAACAGAATATACTACATTAGTATTGAAATTGGATGGGGTAGGGGATTTAATGTTCGTAAAGAATTGGTTGAAGGAGTGTAAGGATGAGCCTGATACTAAAATGTTTTCTTCTAACAAAATTTTGGCAAAATAATAATATAAATCTTCAACGTATGGTATGCTGCAGTAAATAAGATTGGTGTTTTTGATGTTGGTACTGGTATTGGGAGAATTAATTTGTGTTTTTAAAAAAGTTCGTCTTTTTTGAATAACTGAATGAATGAGATTTTTTGGGTAACCATTTTCAATTAGAGTTATTTTTACTAGGGATAAATTTTGTGGATGGAAAGTTTGGTGAGACAACAAAATAGCATGGTCTGTAAGGGAAATAATAGTGTTTATCTTATAGTTTCTGGGACAGTATGAGGAATAGTGTAAGTATCTACCCGACCATGTAGTTTTTCTATACCAATTTGTTCTAATAAAGTTATTAGTGTTGTAAACGGATACATATATATATATATATATATATATATATATTAAATATAAATATATATATATTAAAATTTTAATAATTTTGATGTAGAGATATGTGAGAATCTGTCTTCAAGGCAATACATCAATTAAAAACTTGTATAAACTTATAACATTCTTATTGTTTCCATACGTTTCGACACATTGTTTTGTGTCATCTTCAGTGGACTCTATAGAGACTCTATATAAACTATAGTTTGAAAGCACAGATAGAAATTATTAATTAAAGCTAATTTATAAGAAAGTGGTACGGTGTGAAAACTTACATGTAATTGTAGTAATTCTAATTATTTCATAATTATAATTGTTCACAATGCACAATAAAAAAAATCTTGTAATTTTAAATCAGAATAAATCAGAACAAATATATAAAAAATTTTAAAACGAATTTTTTATTGTATAGTAGGTACATCTCGCAATTCCGTATTCCGATGCAAGAGTGAAGCCTAAATGTGCACCAATGTGCGCATCCAGAGTCGGTCCTGCCTTGCATGCGATCGGAAATGAAATTTATAATATATATATATTTTTTTAATTGTTTATAATAAACAATCTAACTTAACTATGGATACGGAGACACAAAAAGCATATTCAATTTGCAATGTGATACAGTAGAAACAATTAACCGATTTTTAACCCTACAAGTTAGTAAATTATTGTTTTGCTTATTGTTAAATGTACTTATTACATTTTTTCTTCGTTTGAAGTTAACGTAAAATCGAAAAAAAATTATCTAGTGTTCATCCCCTAAGCGCAAACCTACGAAAGTTTAAATTAATTATTGGGCATTATTGATGAAAAATTGCGAGCTGATTTATTTGAAACGGTACTTATTAAAGAAATATATACTAATTATAATAGAAGAAATGAAAAATGGGGAGCCAGTGCTTAGAAAATGGTTTGTTTATTCCGAGAAATTGAATTGTAACTTTTGTTTTTGTTGCAAATGTTTCGCATCTGTTGAACTTTGAATGTTGAAGATGTGCGTGGAACAAATATGAAAAATTTACGTTTGAACAAAAATCTTAAGGCTTGTTTATACCTAGTGGTGTCCATACTCTAAATTTAATAATTATTAACTACACAGAAATAATACATATCAAATAAAATAATTTTTTTTTTCAATATTGTACAAGAAATGTGTAATTTCTTTGCATTTTTCACTGATTTTTGAACAATACTTCTAAAATACGTTAAAAATTTAACTTTAAAACAATAAGCTGATACGACACTAATAAATGTGTGCATCATGAGTGTTACCATATTACTAATAAACATTATACAAAATTTTTATATGGTGTATTTATTTTTAC